TGTATTGGAAGTGCTGTCCCCGTGTATCGGAAGTGCTGTCCCCGTGTATTGGAAGTGCTGTCCCCGTGTATCGGAAGTGCTATCCCCGAGTATTGGATGTGCTGTCCCCTTGCCTGTTCTTGGCCCTTTGGTTTTGTTAGTGTGATCCGTTGCCCATTTGCAGGCTCTTCCCGACAGCAATGAAATCATGACGTGTACCATGTCACTATCGTCTCGGAACCTGTCGGGGTGGGTGGTCTATGAACACTGCATCAAAAATGCCTGGCAATAGTTGTGGTTCCCACTGTATCGCTCTGGCATTGCACTGGGCATCCTGTAAGACTGCAGGGGAAATTGGGCCTAGAGGAACTGCAGCTGCTACTCCCTGCTGCAGCTGTCTGATGAGCGCGGTGAGTTGATCGATTTTGTATGAGCAGAAGGGTTTGCTAGCCGATTGGTCAGTCCTATAAACGGGGCATGAGATAGGAGGAAGGCACACCAGGAAGGTCAGAGGGTTTTCGGATTGGAGAGGCACAGGAACTGGGCAGGCAGGAAGGTTCAGGGCTAAACAGGAGATGCTCGGTAAGCTGCATTCGGATCAACAGTACCTTGTACTGAACACAAGGTACACTGGGGAATTAAGGGGGCAGAGAAGGTGGCTCCGCTCACTACCGATGAGCTGGCATTCCCACAAGGAGGGGGTGAGACAATAATGCCCATTTGAAATGTGTTTTTCCCCCATTTTATAGATGAAGTCAGCAGGAGACTCACAGACATTCTACAACTCTATGCAAAGCCGTGTGCTCTGCTGTACAGGTATGTGCTGACTATATATGACTTTGACTTTGAGGTGACCTCTTATCTAACAGTTTGGGGCTCTGAATGCTTCCTTCTGGAATTTTTCTTTGATAGCTTCAAGCCAATCAATATCACTCTGATAAGCGGTGGCCCCTTATCCGCACATGCTCTGGGGTCCAGACGGCCTTTCCTTGCCACTGGGCATTGAGTTCTCTTCCTGCTCTGGAAGGAGCCGACTACATTGGGGCCCCTCGCTGTTTCCTGTTTGATCCCAGCAAACGCCAGAAGGACACTGACGACAGCTGGCAGCTGCATGGAAAATCATTAAGAGAAGGATGAGACACTTTAGGGAGGTGCAGACTTTCTCTGGTCTTTCTTCAGATAAAATTGGAATATTTATTTCAAAACAGGGTACCGATGTAGGACAGTTCTGGGGTCTTGGAAATCACTTGGATCTTTGCTGTCATCAACAATATTTTGAGGTTGTTCAAGGTTGGCACATGGAAGGCAGCACCATTAAGCTTACATACTACTGGACTACAGCATGAAATATTCTTCTGGGTCAGCTGCAGAGTTACAAAGTAACAGAAAGTCTAGTTTAATTAAAATTCTGAGTGATTCGATCAAGCAACTCTAAAGATTTGATTAGAGACACTATGAAACCTAATGTGCCTTCAGAGTCGATTTGAATGGCAGGCACTGATTGGTTATTTGCATCGAGTTGCCCGTGATGCTTACAGTGTATTTTCAGGTCTGATAATTTACTTGATTGGCAGGAACTCCTAAAGGTTTTGTATACCCATGGCTCCAACGTTGAGAATTAAGATTTGACTTAACCGTTGCTAAGACCTGAAGCTCATTCCGTCTGTCAGATACGAACAGAATACACAGGAAAAAGCTGAGAGGCTGATTTTCACCCAACCTTTCCAGTCCTGGAGTCGGCACACTTCACTGGCTGTTCTTGGGTCTCTCACTGCTGCTGCAAAGTCTGATATGAAATGCATCCCCATTACAGAATAATACAGACTCAGAAGACACTGAAGAGGAGGGAGCTCTGCAGCCTGCAGGGACCAGAGGAACAGGTGGTGGAATCAGGCACAAGGTTTGTCTCGACGCTGCTGAGAACACAGTAGCCTCTGTAAATTGCTGCTTTTCCATGACATTGTCCCTGGCTGTGGACATGGGGGTGAGCGGCAGCCTTAACTAACAGCCTGGATGTTCCTGAATCTCCTGCTGAAGTCTCACTGACCTCTCAAACATGCAGGGCTCTAATGTAATGTAGTGTAAGACTGAGTTATTTATGCGATTGTCAGGGAGGGGATGGGAGAAGTGGGCCGGGGGGTGTAGGGGCTGGTTAATAAGCGAACATGAGGGTGAGATGGAGAGCTACATCCTTCAGCGACTGGATGCTTGTGGTGCCATCTCTGCAATTTGACTCTCCCTGTCGCCCCTGGAGGATGGGCTCCCCCTTTGAGTCTGGTCCCTCCCAAGGTTTCTTCCTTCTTGGGAGTTTTTCCTTGCCACTGTCACCTATGGCTTACTCACTGGGGGCTTTGGGTGGGGATGCTGTAAAGCGATTTGAGACGATGTAATGTTGTGAAGGGGTCACACATTAGCGGGGCTAAGCGCTCCATGGGGTGGCTGCATTTTGGGTAGCGGACATGATGGCTGTAGGTGGGTGTCACAAGTAATCCAGAAAAATCTGTCGCGAAATTACCACAAAAATGACACAATGATACAGGGAGAAGATCCCAATATAACAACACATACTTTCAACCTTTCTGCATTGCGACGTTCCCCATTTTGCTTTCGGTATATTGCAGGACTGGCATGAGAAATGAAATGGGAGTTTTTCGAAAGCTGCAGACGACACACAAAAAGTTCAGTAACTCATAAATGCAGAAAATATAAGTACAGCAGTGGTTGAAAGTGTGTTTAGGCAGCCTCTCACATGATATCTTGCAGTAACCTTGCAGTGATCTCACAGTGATCTTGCAGTGATCTTTGTATCTCACATTTCTTGTACCGTTTTCTTTCACACGCTCACTTCTCTCATCCAGGACACAAAACAATTTCACGTTTTTCCAGATCATGGGGGGCTGTGTCCCTAACCCCGAGATGTGGGAGGGTCGACTGTATAACTGTTCTGGACAAGGGGAAGTGCAGGAAATGAGACAAAGGTGATATAGCAATTTAGCAGAAATATGAGGCCTTTAGAGGACCTTGAGGTCACTGTGTGTGTGTGTGTGTACAATCGCTAGGCCATTTGTCAGTGGAACACCATGTTTATCTGTGCGTTCACCCATTACCGACTACCTGCTAGTGAATATGGTAGGTAATATTCCTCCAGAAGGCTTCTGCCACTTTGGTGCCTTGTGATGCAAGCATACTGACCTGTAGGGGCTTTTAGAGGTGTTTGTCACATGCCTGACTGAGTCTGATTTATCCGAAGGTGCTGTAAGTTAAAGAGAATCGCAGTACGGTGCCCAGAGGACACCAACCCCCATCATCAGAGAGCTGTACCCCACAGGAAGTGGCAGTCTGGTCACCCCGGAGGTCCTTTTCAGGAATGATCGCACGCACGCACACACACACACAAACACACGCAAAAAGACACACATAGACTCAAACATACACACGCACACAAACAGACATACACACAGACACACACATTCACGCACACATACAGGGTTACACACAGATGAAGGCTAGTCACACCACCTGAAGGTGACCTGATGACACACGGATGAAAACACGCATGTCATTCACAGAAGCATGAAGAACGACAATTTGAAGGTCTGACTTTTTTTTTTTTTTTCGGATAAGGCTGGAGTGTCTGTGTGGAAGGCACACAGGAAGGCACCGCCATGAAACGCAGTGGGCAGCATGTCACCAACTTGAGGGCACCGCCATGAAACGCAGTGGGCAGCATGTCACCAACTTGAGGGCACCGCCATGAAACGCAGTGTCACCACAAGGGT